TCCACTGCCTTGCTGCCCCACCAGCCGCAGCACGCACCTTCTGCGCCTGCCCTGGCTTCTTACTTCCCCCGGGCAGCAGATGGCACCGACTAGCACCGGAGTTAGTCCAAAATTAACTCACCAAAACCACTCGAACAAATTCAAAACTGCAGCGTGAGGCTTATTGCCACTAATACCACATGCACTCATCACTACAGAACAGTAGAGGCACATTTTAAAAAACAACAATTAAAAAAACCAACAAAACAACCCACCCCACCCCCGTTTACAGTAAGCACCGGGGTCCAATCCACACACGTACTTGTTTCCCTTTGATTTTAACAGGCTTTGGACCAACCTTGGTAAAAATACTAAAAATAATTTATCTTTAAAATGACGGTAAGCGTGGCCCCAAACTCTCACCATCGCACCATCGCACGTTTTTACAAATGAACACACTGAAGCTCTGAATCTGTGATTCTGGATGTTTTAACACAATAGTTTTTACTATTGTTACTATTTACTGTCATGGCCTCACCCTTTTCACATGGCTTGAGATTTGGTTTGCAGCTGTGTTTAACTCCCATTTTATACCAGGTAACTGCAGATTTCAGACGTGTGTGACAGAACACAAAGAAATAATGTAACAGTAAGACGGGAGAAAAAAATACAAATTAAATTAAATGGGAGAGTTAAGTTGAAAATCGGTTTTGGATAGTCAAGGAAAGATTACTCAAAACTAAATAACTCAAACTTAAATATTTTATTTACATTTTATGTAATGTTTATTAAAATTAGGTCCCAAACTTTATTCAGTAGCAGTTATATGCTTTCTATGTTAACTGAAATGATTTATTTTATTATTATTTTTTAATCATAGTATTTGGCCAACTTGACTTATTCTCAAGAGTTCAGGAATTTTTTTTATTTTTTAAATCAGCACATATCATGAAGAATCCATGTGCACTATTACCACTAATCAAAGAAATCTTGAAAAATTTTGCCAATATCAAGCCAAGACTTAAAAATAAATCTAGTCACCACAAGCCAATGTGTCTGCTTAGAAACATATTGTAAACGCCTGGGAAAACATTTTCTTTTGTTCTGTACATTTCCAACATGATTTAAACACAATGTCCTCTTATGTTCAGCAAATTTTAACTTCCACCAGCATGACAAAATCTTATGAGTAGCCTTTTCAAATCTAGCAGGTTCCCCATAGGATGTGTCTGTTCTCCCACAACCTCCCTTTTGAGAGGGAGGCGACTATCAGTGGATGCAGAGATGCTCCGAGTACAGCGCAGCCCCTGGTGAAGATCACAAGGGTCACACTGTGAGAAAGTGCCACCCTGTTGTGGGCGTAACAGAAAACCAACTCTAAACTATCTACCTCCACTTAATCTGACGAACTAATTATCTCTTGCCTTCACCAGCAACAGCACGGATCTCAGTGGAAGGCAGACCAACCCTAGATATTACTTCAGATCACCACTACCACACCAAATTCCCCCATGGAAGCAAAAGCAGTGGATAAGCAAGCTACTGCATTTTGGAGGCTCAAAATACAGCGTTCTTACACAAACGGTACCACGTCTGAAGGAATATGATCTACTTGTGTTGCTGTAACATGCAGGAGCTCTAAATTAGGTCAGCATTGTGCTTGGTGCTGTGCAAATGCAGACACGGACAGAGGAAACGTGGCTTGTCCGAGGGACCCAAGCGTCCAAAAGAAATGTCTGTCCCAGAAGCCAAGTCACATGTATCTTAGCGAGGCTCTGGCTCCCTGGTTTCTATGTCACTTTCAAAGATGGAATGTAAATTACCCAGATGATTTGGAAACAAAATTGAACCTTAGTGTCTGGCCAAAATTTACATCTCAGAACTGAAGAGGATGAAATTTAGAGCAAAAGGGGGAAAAAAAAAAAAAAAGTCCTTTAAGGGAAGTAAGTATTGGAGGCTCCAGTTTTTCAAGCATCTGGAATTGGACTGACCAAAAAAGAAATCACTCTGCAAGAGAATATAAAAAAAAATATTTTGCACCGATGTAGAATGGATGAGGTGAACTAATAGGTTTCTCCCAGCTCTATTTTCCAATATTTAGATCCTGCTTTTTATTATCATTT